GTGGCACAGCACACCTCACCTTAGGGACAAGAAAAACCACAGGGAGGATCATCAGCAGGATGCTCCAAGAAAAGCGTGTTTAAAATCCAGTACATCTTACAGTGTATCAAAGCAGTTTACTTTGATTTATTGTAATATTTCGTCTCAGGTTTTGTTTCAATGCCAGACTTCTGAAACAAAACCAATTGGTGCCCATTGATATTATGCTGCTCGGAATATATTGTAGATAGAGGAAGAAACCTGTGAGTTCCTCTGTACATATGTGTTTACACATAGTTCATATATGGCGCATAATTCAGTCAAGCTTTCAGATTTTTAACAATTGCAGTCATGTGGATTTGACTGCAATGTTTTGAAGTTTAGCAAGTTAGTACAGGAGCACACTTGGATCAAATTTGTATAAAATAATAACCCTTTGATACATAATTGAAATGTCTCAAAGCATTTCATAGGAATTTTTGTAGAGTGTAGTAACTGTGCATTTTATAGGGAAATGTGGTAGCCAATTTGCAGTGATGTTCCACAAATAGTTATGATGTGAATGACCAATTTTATCTGGATAAAACTTATCTGGAGAAATCCCTTATCCATTTTGAATACGGTCATGAGATCTTTAACATCTAACTAAACAGACAGATAGGACTCAGTTCATCTGGAAGCTTGATATCTCTGATAACACAGAATTTCCCTAGTATGGCAGTGTCATCTTAGACTGTGAGTTCAAAGTCCCAACATAGTACTTTGAACTTGGAACTTCTGACTCAGAGGCAAGGGTGCTACAACAACAACAAATTACATTTGTTTAGCGTCTTTCATGTTGGGAGAACGTGCTAAGCCACTAGACAGTCAGGGATTCGAACCCGCGCTGGGGGTTGGAGATCTGGAGGGGTGGAGGGCAGGGAGAGTAGGGGTAAGAGGGTGACCGAAGGCATGGTCAAAGAGGAGGGTCTTAAGATGTGCCTTGAAGAAGGTATGGGAGGGAGCAAGATGAAGAGACTGTGGAATGGAGTTGCAAAGGGTAAGGGCAGAGAGGCTGAAGGCTCGACCGCCGATGATAGGCCAGGCGGGGGATGTGGAGCAGGCCAGAGCCTGCTGAGTGGAGGGAGCGGGCAGGTTGATATGGCAAATATCGACTTGCTGACGATATTATTAAAGGGGGTTAATGTGAAAAAAAAAAGCCTTCGACTCCACTGTAAGTGCATGTTAGTTATACTGTATTATTGGTCGATGTTCATACCCATTTCCAATTCTCATGAACTGTGACAGTCTGCCCTTTATTATTTTCGCCCAAATGTACATTTAATAATATACGATAGCTTGGATTTGTTATCCATGAAAAAGAAAAGCTTTTCTCACTATATATTTAGAGGATTGTATGTTCTTTCAGTCACCTTGGAGGAGAAGTTCTGCCTATTACTTTAATGCCTACCTCCTACACCATAAATCCAGCTAATAAGCACTGATCAATAAAAAGATTGAAAGGCTTCAGGAGGCTCTCTACTTTAGTCAAAAATACATACACAAAGTTGCCGTGTGATGAATGTTACTATCTTATTTTTGGAAAAGTTGACAGATGATATAATTTGGCTGAGCCACTCTTAACTAGTACAGTCAATAGTTTCAGCTGGGCACATATCTCCCGCAGTATTCCAGTGTGAGAGGCACATGCTCTATAATTAAATCATCTGAGACAAAGATCAAAGTGACTGATTAGTATTCTTAGGCCTACAGTAACATTAGACAGCAATCTCTAAGCTAAAGAACGGTCTTTGGGCTTTCTTGAAAACATTACTAAGGGCTTGACAACAATAAACGTAAAAGGTGTAACGATCCCTTACCGAGCTCAATGCACCCTTGGTCATTTTTGGTGTTTTTTTGTAGGATTATAAAAGCAGAAGAATTGCTGGGCGAAGGAAGACCAAGGAACATCCAGTTTTCCTTCCACCATCCAGGCAGTCGCTTGCACGTGTCATGTCCCAAACTATATACTGTATCACAAGATATTATTTCCTAACTGAAATCTATCTAATTTGTTCTTGAAAGATTCGACTTTCTGCTTCCACCGTCTCCCTAGGGAGCCTGGTTCCATACATTTCTACTCACTCACTGAAGTACTGTTTCTGCAGAATTGTTTTGAATTTACCTCTCTTCAATTGCAGTCCATGTCAACAACAACAAAATTACATTTGTATAGTGCCTTTCACGTTGGGAGGACGTCCCAAGGCGCTGGACAATCAGTGTTTTGGACCTGAGCTGGGGGTCGGGATTGGGGAGGGTGGAGGACAGGGGGAATGGAGGGTGACCAAAGGCACGGTTGAAGAGGAGCGTTTTGAGATGGGTCTTGAAGGAGCAAAGGGAGGAGGCGAGGCGGAGGGACTGTGGGATGGAGTTCCAGAGGCTGGGGTTAGAGTGTTAGAAGGCCTGCCTGCCAATTGTGGGGCGGGTGCATTGGTAGGGGATTAGGAAGTCGCAGAAGTAGGGTGGAGCAAGGCCATGGAGGACTTTGAAGGTGAGGACTAGGATCTTGAACTGTATCCTCTGTGTGATGGGAAGCCAGTGGAGTTGGGTGGGGATGGGGGTGATAGGGTCACAGAGCCTGGTGCGGGAGAGGACACGGGCTGCAGAGTTCTGGATGATCTGCAGCCTATGGAGGGAGGATTTGTGGAGGCCGACAAGCAGGGAGTTTGCGTAGTCGAGCCTGGATGTTATGAATGAGTGTATGAGGGTCTTGGCGGCCTGCGGTGTAAGACAGTGGTGGAGCCGGGTGATGTTGTGGAGGTGGGGGAAGGCAGAGCAGGTCATGGCATGGATGTGGGGTAGAAAGGATAGTTTAGGGTCAAACAAGACGCCAAGGTGTCCTTTTGTTCTACTGTTTAGTACAAAAAGAAATCTACTTATCGTCTACATTATCTAGTCCTCTAGAATCTTAAAGACTGCAATCATATCGCCCCTCAACTTCTTTTCTTTTATTTTTGGCATTAATTATATTTTGCAATTAAAATTATAACACACAAAGAGCAAAGAAAGGGTGGTAGGAGTTGCTGTTAGCTGACCATATTTTCAAATATACAGTCCTTGCAATATTATTTGTAAATATTGAATCCTATTGATATCCAGATGTGAATAGACAAGGTTCCCACCAACTTGTGGGAACTCCACTCCAATGATCCAAGAATGAAATCTCAGGTTGGAGGAGGGTCATTCTAACATACCTGAAACGTAATCTCATTCTGGGACAGCCTGATACACATCTGGTTTCTATCAGGATTCAATATTTTCAATAACAACAACAACTTGCATTTATATTGTGTCCCTCACGCAGGGGAGGGTCCCAGAGAGCTTGACAGTGGCGGAGCACAACACCGAGCCGGGGTGAGGGGGAGGTGACTGTAGGCACGGTTGAAGAGGAAGGTCTTCAGGCGCGACCTGAAGATGAGGAAGGAAGATTACAAATCCTTTCCCATTCCTGCTGCAAACACCCCACTATCTAAGATGACAATGTTATTGGCTTCAGTATCTAAATCTGCAGCATGCACTGGATAAACATATGCAATTCACTGTCTAAAGCTTCACATGTTCGAAATATAATCGCATTGGCACAAATCAACAGCTGTTACTTGCTTCCAAAAAGTCAATGTAATGGACCACTCGGGAGGCAATGTTTTGGTCCACTCTGCTGATTGCCTGCTAAAGTGATATTCTTCATTAAAAATGGGAGAGATTGGGAACAAAAACCCTGAAACAAAGTTGTTTAGTATATTAAAAATATTGACCTTTGCACATTCATATGAAAGCCAATTTATGAAAAGCGTTGCCAAAAATATTGGGCTGAATCAATTTATTATCACATTGATTGGGAATAGTTTGCTTGATGGGGTGTTACAGAGTTTATTCGATCTGTAATATTCCACAAGTGCAAAACTGTTACTTCTCAGATTCATTTTCCACCTCATAAAACATGAAGAAATAGCACAAAGAACACAGGAACTGGAGGGACTGTTTTAAGTTAGTTGTTTGTCATCAACAGAAAGAGAAAGGGAGAGAGAGAGAGGGAGAGATAAAGAAAAAAAGAACTTGCATTTGAACAGTGGCTTATAATGACTATCAAATGTAATGACAGTGTGTTTCTTATAGCACCAAAATATATTTTGTGGGAAGTGGCCACCCACAGAACACACAGTCACTACACTTTACGGTGTATCCTGTGAAGAGCTTTGAAATGTCTCAAATATGTGATAAACTACTATGCAAGCATTACTATTATTATTACTATTATTATTATTATTATTATTATTATATATTTAGGGTTTCCTCAGTTGTTAAAGACACTAAGTTATGTGAATTTTGGTTGCACAGACCCAGGAGGAGTCAGATTCGATCTCCGGTCTGTGAAGGGTTAGCATATCTCAGCTAGTTGTTGTGGTAATGGTGATGGTGGTGATGATTGTTGGGGGGCGGGGGAGAGCGCGGGGAGGAGAATACTACAACTGTCCTCAGTGTTCCATTAGTGAATGGATGGTAAATCAGGGTCCTGCTGTTTGAATATTATTCAGGAACCCCTGTTACTTTGTCCACACAAAGTGCAAGTGTGTGGACATCAGGCAAAAGTAGAATGGACTGCTGACATTTGGATATAAATTCTGTTGAAAATTAATAATAATAATTCTTACATTTGATAAAGGGTCTTATTACATCGTTGAGACATCTCAAAGCGCTTCACAGGATATATTGTAAAGTGGATTGACTGTGTATTTTGTGGGCAAAATGCAGCAGTCGGTGGCACACAGCAGTGTCCTACAAACAATGGGAAATCCTATTAAAGGCTGACATCTTCAAAAGCGATGTGCATATTGCTGAAAAGAATGGTCACATTGGGCAACTTACAGAGGAAATCTGTGGAATTATATTCTACAAAGAATCAGAAGCATTGGAGAAAAGCATGGGACGGGGGAGGAAGGGGGGAATTCCAGAGCGAAAACATAATAACTAGGAATATATACCTCCAGTCGTTCAAACTGTGTCACATCAGTCTCTGATCCATCATTTCTTACTTGCTCCTCTTGGGAGTCTTCTTCTGTGGTTAAGGTAAAGGCAGGTTTTTAGGTTAGTTGGAACAGTTACTAGGAATTTTGAAATGAAGGTGAATGGAAACAAAGCATTTAGTGAAAAAAAATGGTAAAATAAAGCAGAAGTTATTTATACATTCAAGCTGACAAGGCTTGAAATTCAACCTAGTCTTAGCCTGGAAAAGCATTAAATCTTAAAATTTGAGATGACACAGCCACAGAATTGTGGAAAATACTTCAGTCTTAATTTGGAAGCAGGCTCTTTATAAGAACTGTGGAAAACTGGCTTCCAAAATAAGATTGAACTTAAGATATTATTTCACAATTCTGTGTAACCTTAAATTTAAAGACAGAATTTTGTTCTTACAAGCTAAGACAAAGTGGAATTTCAGACCTTGGGTGTGTTAGTCCAGGTCTATTTCATGTGCTCATAAGAACAGATATAGTTATTATTATTATATTATTATTAATATATTATTATATTATTAGTAGTATTAATAATAATAATTAATAACAGTAATAATCCTTGCATTTCATATATCAGTTTTCACATTGGGAGAATGTCTCAAAGTCACTTCAAAGTGTAGTGACTGTATATTTTTGTAGGCAATTTTGCACACAGCGATGTGTGCATGAAATAAATGATCAGGTTTATCTGGGGGAATTGCTGGAGAAAGGAGAAACTCCCTCATTTTATTAAAGAACACTGTGGAATCTTAATGCCACCTGATCAGGCAGACAGGACTTCCAAAGGATGTACAGCATGGAAATAGGCCACTCGGCCCTATCAATTCATGCCAGTGTTTATACTCCACACACTTGCTATTCCCTCCCATATCCTTCTATTCCTATGATTAAGATCAAACCCAAAATAGCTTGTGGTTCTGAAAAATAAGGTTTTAAAACACAAAATTCCCGCACAAAACTTCGTAGCTCCATCAGCCCAGTCCTTGCCAGGCTCCATTGGCTCCCAATTACCGAATGGATTGATTTCAAGGTCTCCTGACTCAATTTCCCCTCCCCCTATCCAATCTGCTTACCCCCCACTCCACCACCGCTCCCTCCGCTCAGCTGGCTCCAGCCTCCTGTTTGTCCATCGTCCCCTCCGCTCCACCACAGTGGCTGTGTGCCTTCAGCCACTACGCTCCAAAACTCTGGAACTCTCTCCCTCAATCCCTGCGCCTTGCCCCTTCCCTCCCCACTTTCAGATCCCTCCTGATGACCTTCCTTTTTGATCGGCTTACTTTCACCTACCCCTCCCTCTCCCCCTGGCTATCTGAATTTTGATCCCCACAGACCACCACTGTCAAGTGCTCCGGGATGCTACCTCGCATGAAGAGTGCTATATAAATGCAAGTTGTTGTTGTTGTAAACAATTTTATCTTGAAACACTGAGTCCTGTAGCTCAGTGGTTAGAGCACTCGCCTCGCAAGCGAAAGACCTGGGTTCGATTCCCAGCAGGGCAAAACCTTGGGCAAGTTTTCTTACTCCACATGCCTGATAATAATCCCTCAAGAAAAAATATAAAAATAATAATTTGATCATTCAATCCACAAATGTTTGTGGGACACTGCTGTGTGCAATTGGCTGCCGCATTTTGTCCACAAATATACAATCAATTCACTTTCTGTGAGTTATGTATTACCTGAATCGGAAAGGCTATCTGAATTTTGATCCCCACAGACAGACACGTGCAAACCACTGGTGTATTGTCACTTTACACATGTTGTTATTGCCATCATTTCTACAGTATAGAGTTACTTTTCATAAATGTTAAATACTACTTTATCCAAAATATGAATGGGAACTGCCAAGTAAAAGCATTTTGCTTTACATCCCAGACCACCATGGAAGTTTTCAAATTGAATCTTTACTTAATGTTTGTTAATTGATGCAGTATTATGAGAGATACACTGAGGCCGACAGTGGGCATGTTCGGATGGAGGGAGGGAGTCTCTTTAGGAGTCACTAATCATTCAAGTTATTTTACTCCCCTTCATGCAGTATGTACTCCCATGTCACACAACAATCCTCAGCCTACAACAACAACAAGATTTCATTTATAGAGCGCCTTTCACGTCGGGAGGACGTCCCAAGGCGCTGTACAGTTGGGTCAGGACCCGAGCAGGGGGGAAATGGTCAGGGTGAGGGGAGGGAAGGGAGGGAGCGAGGAGGGGGTAGAGAGTCGAGAGGGGAGCTGAAGGCACGGTCAAAGAGAAAGGTCTTGAGACTAGCCTTGAAGCCTAGAGGCCGAGAGGCTAGGTGACTGATCTGCTCCAAGGGAACTGATAATTTGAGTTACTCTTTGAGATTCTCTCATTTCATTTTGGACATAGACATTATAGTCTTAAAATTAGAGCAAGGCTGGTTAGAAGTGAGACCAGGAAACATTTCATCATGCCAAGGGTTGTGAGAATGTGCCACAGAAAGCTATAGATGCAGAATTGATTTGTGTATTTTATTAAAAGTGGAAATGAACAAATACTTTTTATTTCTGTTTTTATTGTTACATTCAAGCCCCAACTCTCCCTGAGTCATGTAGTAAACATATTAAGGGAAATTTAGAAAAGGGAAATTGAAATTAAAAGATGTCCTATAATCTAATACATTGGTGGAACAGGCTTGATGGCCTATTATTTTGTACTATATGTTCCTAAAGAGAAACCTATGTGTTCCTGTAGAAATACCTATTTATTATTAGATAAAAGAAGATGATAATAATCCTTGCATTTGATATAGTGCCTTATCAAGTCATCAAAATATGTTAATGCATTTCACAGGATTTCACTGTAAATTGGTTAGTTTCCTAAGTTTCCTTACTTCACATGCCTCTGTTTACCTCGGAGTAAGTAGGATCCCGGTTGTTAGTCGATTGGCAGATCACTTTCCAAGGGTAATAATCCTTTCAAAAATAAAAAATATTAATTTGTCACTCAATCCATGACTGTTTGTGGGACACTGCTGTGCACAATTGGCTGCCGTGTTTCACCCACAAAATATACAGTTGATTCACTTTACAGTATATTCTGTGAAGAGCTTTGAGACGTCTCAATGACCTGATAAAACACTATATCAAATGCAAGGATTATTAATATTATCTAAAAGTAACAGGATTTTGGTTACTGAATTTCAACTAATAAAGTGTGTAATGTTGCTGAAGCAATGGCTCAATTCAAACAAAAGGAAATCTCTATCATAACTTCAAGGTGCTAATTCCTCTGAGGCTTTATGCCAACGCCTTTCACAATGTGAAATCTACTTTCTGCTGATTTATTCCTGTACTTATGATTGTTATGATTGTTATAATCACAAGTACAGTAATAAACATAATGGTTTATAATCACAAGTTTAAAGGGGATAAATGTTTTTGTGACACCTCTAATCGTGTTAATGAAATGTCATAGCAGTTTTTTTAAGATATAAAATATTGAATATCAGATTCAATAACATTTATACTTTTTTAAAACATTTCCTGACATAACTTTGATATGATCATTAGTTGAAGGGGCATGTGTGATAGACAGAACATTATGGCCCTACTAGTACAGTGAGCCAGGACATTGACTTATGGTTGGATGTAAGTTTTGAGCCTGCAAATCTTCATGGTATATCTACTCATCTATCTTAGCACAAAACAAGAACAGACAGAGGAAAGGAAGAGAGATAAAGAGCTGGTATTGACTGCCCTTGCCCGCCACCTAGCGTGTGGTGCAAGAAATGCACAGAGGCCACTGAACAAGTTATCTTCCCACTGTCTTGGCTTGAAGGATAGATACATGGTGCAGGTGGACCTAATAATAAAGTGAAAGAAAAAGAGGACGAGGGAAATATTGTTCAATTAACAATAACTAAAAATAGGTTGTGGTTGTGTCAACAATTTTAAAATAGTTATTTGGCCAATAATTCAATCGAAGGGTGTGAGAGATTTACAATGGGATTTTTTCCATTAATTTGGTGGTTATCAGAAGGACTACATAGATTTACATAGATTGTATGGCATGGAAACAGGCCATTGTTTATATTCTATATGTATCTCCACCCACTCCTTACTCCCTCCCATACCTTTCTATTCCTGTTTTCTGCACTTGTACATTCCAATGCATTAAACAGAGCATGTTCCAATTATTACTTAGTTTATTAAAAGGGAACATGTCTACTTAAACATGAAAGATTGAAAGTTCCACTGTTTTTGAATACAAAACTACAATACTATACAATCTAAGGGCACAGCACACCGTAGATCTTGATAATAAACAACCACCAGCAAATGTAGAAATTCTACAAGGAATTTTATCCTTCAATATTTCTTTCTCTTTTTTAAAAAAATTTAAAATATGTCACATTTAACTATAAGCTTGAAAAGCAACAATTAGTTTTGAAACTTTTAATGTCACTGTAAAGCTTCAGACAATACCCAAAAGGCACAATGGATGGCAAGATAAACATGATTTCTACAAGATTATTGATATTTCTGGATTTTCTAAGAGTCCCACTGCAGCCAATCAAGTGATCAAAATGAAATACTTTGCTTCAGGACTGGAAAGTGCATAAAAATGGGCAACAGCACAAAGTGCCATTACAGTGACAGACCATTTATGTATTTTATTAAAATATTTCTCAATGACTCATCGACTACATTTTTATAACAAGTTCAAGACCTGGAAGATTGTCTTACAAAGAGTGCTTGCATTTCAATTTATATTTACAGTTTTATGTATATTACAAATCTATGACTTTATTAAAGAAAAAGCATTAAGTACTGCTTCCCTCTTGTTCTCCAATGGTTTCCGAGGTGTTGTGGAGGATGGGGGATTGGGGCAGAGTTAGTTAGGATGAAGTAGGGATAGAGTTCTGCTGTCGTCTGTTCCCCTATCATTTTCAATTTGCCAATCAAAAAAGACAAACTGTAAGTGCAGTCAGAAAGTGACAACAATAATGCTTCACTCTAATATGGGAAAAGGTTCCTTGGAGACACATCCACGCTGACCGCATGTAATAAAATCACTAT